TAAAGAGAGTTATGGCAATATCTTTAATAACACTTCTAAACTTACCGCTCTTAACAAATTGCTAGTGAGATGTCTCTATTGCAAGCAAGATAAAAGAGCTTTCACTGAAAGTGAGTGAAAATGAATATGTTCTGTATTTTCCCATCTGTGATCATTAAACATTCAAGAGAAATATTAAGAGAATACAGTAAATGTTAAGAGAATAAATCACATGCTGGCTATATATTATTTAGGACTACTACATACAAAACAAATAATCCTTTCATTTTACTTACACACCCTTTGCATGTGTGTCTCTCTCTCTCTTTTTCCTATTTATATCTAGAGCAATGTCTTCATAAGTTATGTTCCTAGAAACCTGAAAGAATTTGGTTTCTCTGTTTTTCAGTCCTGAGATGGATTTTCAAGAGCTTCTGTGAGATTCATTACTGCAGAACATAGGGAGAGTTGAGCCTGATGAACTATGCCAGGGAATTAATGCTTCATTGTTCTTTGGTTTCTTTAAATTTGGCATTTTCAGAATGAAAATATGTATATTGTCCCAGACCTTGTTATAGCATTGTCACTGCATTGCACACAACAGAGGCTTTCAGAACTTTCATCAGGACTAGACCCGGAACCTCCTCTTCCAAAAGCAGACGCCCCTGCTAGTTGAACTAGAGGAGTGTTTCTTAAATTTTTTAAGACCGAGGAACACCAAACAATTTTTTTTTTTTAATTAGGAACACCAAGGATTTTTTTTGTTGAACAAAAAGAAAAAGGGCGGGGAGGAAGTAATTGAGGGGGAAAAAAAGGCACCTGCCTCTTTAAAGGTGGCCATTTTGAACTCTGTTGTTCTCCGCGGCACACTGGTGTTCCCCGGAACACAGTTTAAGAAACACTGAGCTGGAGGAAAATCTCCTTTAGCTGAAAGTAGTATAGGGGCTATCATACAAAATTTAGCAGTTCTGATTTCATCCAGCAGAGGATGTGGAAGGGAGCTCACTGTGTCATTTTTATACAGGTCACCTAGATTGATAGGTCAGAAATAACCATTATATTATCTTACAG